TTTTTTTTTGGGTCCAGTCATGGGGCCTGAACTCTGGGCCTGGGCACTGTCCCTCAGCTCTTCAGCTCAAGGCTAGCGCTCTACCACTTGAGCCACGGCGCCACTTCCGGCTTTTTTCTTTTTGCTTATGTGGTGCTGAGGAATCGAACCCAGGGCCTCTGGCATGCAAGGCAAGCACTCTACCACTGAGCCACCTTCCCAGCCCCCTGTAACTTCATTTCTTAAGAGAATTATATGGGGAAGGTTTATAGTTCAGGATATTTGTGAGCACTTTAATGAAATAAATGAGATTACAACTGTGACAAACCTTATTAAGTTTAAATACATAAGCTTGTTTAATAAAAAATTTCATGAACCTAATAACACTTGAGAACCTCTCCAATGTTGTTAATTCTTTTTCAATAAAAGGAAAACTTTTTATGCGTGTGCTGGCTGTGGCACTTGAACTCAGGGCCCAGGTGCTATCTCTGAGCTTTATTTGCTCAAGGCTAGCACTTGAGCCACAGCCCCACTTCCAGCTTTTTTGGTACTTAATTGGATATCAAAGTCTCATGAACTTTTTCTCTGAGCTGGCTTTCAGTTGCAATCCTCAGATGTCAGCTTTCTGAGTAGCTAGGATTACAGGCATGAGCCACCAGTGCTCTGTAAATTTTTAAGGTCTTCTATTTGAAGTCAACATAAATGTTTATGTCTGTTATAATGTTTTTTTATCATATCCTTAAATTTTCCCTTATAAAATTTACTTCATTTTCAGGTTTTAAATTATTTACGCTTATTTATTTGGCAGTATTAAAGTTAAGAGCCTTGTGCTTGCTAGTGTTCTAGAACATGAGCCAGACCCCAGCCTAGTTTGCTTTATTAATTGTCTGGATAGAGTTTTACTTTTTTGTCTGGGTTCAGCCTGGGACCTTGATCCTCCTAACTACACCTTCCTAACTACACTCCTCCTTACCATGCTGGAATTACAGGTATGTACCACAGGCCAAACTTGTTTGTTGATATAGAATCTCAGTAACTTTTTTGCCTGGGCTGGCTTTTTGCCTATGTATGGTGTGAGCCACTGTGCCTACCTAGACTTTAGTCTCATGTTTTTAAATTTGCTGAATTATTAATAAGTCATTTTGAGAAATATTGGCATCAATATTGATCAGTTACTCCTTTAAGCTTTATGAAAATGGAATGCAGTCTTTAAGACAGCACTTATCTCTAGGAAGAATTTACAATTTTTATTGTGAAAATGTTCGGACATATCAAAATTAAAAAGATCAGTAACATTATGTGTATCTATCACTTTGATTCATCAGATATCAAGAAGTTTTGGCTCATTTCACTTATGCCTTGGATTCTTGTTGCTCCAAGTTTTTTGTTTTTGTTTTTGCTTTTTTTCTGATGGTGAGGTTTAACTAAGGGCCTGGGCGCTAGCTGTCCCTGAGCTCTTCTGCTCAAGGCTACCACTATACCACTTCCAGTTTTCTTGTGGTTAATCTCCAACTAGCCAATTGGAGGTAAGAGTCTCAAGGACTTTAAGCCCTGGCTGACATTGAACCGAGATGCTCAGATCTCAGCCTCCTGAATAGCTAGGATTACAGGCATGAGCCACCAGCACCTGGCCAGTATGCATTTCTTTTTTTTTTTTTTTTTTTTTGGTCGGTCGTGGGGCTTGAACTCTGGGCCTGGGCGCTGTCCCTCAGCTCTTCAGCTCAAGGCGAGCGCTCTACCACTTGAGCCACAGCACCACTTCCAGTTTTCTGGTGGTTTATTGGAGATCGGAGTCTCATGGTCTTTCCTGCCCGGGCTGGCTTTGAACCTCGATCCTGAGATCTCAGCCTCCTGAGTAGCTAGGATTACAGGCGTGAGCCACCAGCGCCTGGCAGCAGTCACTTTTTATCTCAGAATATTTTTTTGGTGTCAGTCCTGGGGCTTGAACTTACGGTTTGATTGTTATCCCTGAGGGTTTTTTTTCTTTTTTGCTCAAAGCTAACACTCTACCCCTTGAGCCATAGCTCCACTTCTGTCTTTTTTGGTGGTTAATTGGTGATAAGAGTCTTACAGACTTCCTTGCCCTGGCTGGCTTTGAACCTTGATCCTCAGATCTTAGTCTCCTTAATGCCTAGGATTACAGGCCTAAGCTGCCGACACCTAGCTTCTCAGAATGTTCTTTCTTTTTTTTTTTGGCCAGTCCTGGGGCTTGAACTCAGGACCTGGGAACTGTTCCTGAGCTTTCTTGTTCAAGCTGGCACTCTACCACTTGAGTCACAGCACCACTTTCAGCTTTTTCTGTTTATGTGCACTGAGGAATCAAACCCAGGGCTTCATGCATGCTAGGCAAGCACTCTACCACCTTCCCAACCCTCTCAGAACATTCTTTAGGTGAGGATGATTTAGGCCAAACTGAAAATTGTGGAACAGGTTTTGGCTCTTTTAGTATCCCTCTGCCCTTTTGCCTAATTTTCCCTCTTCTGAGAAGATTGCTTTCCTATTTTCTCATTCTTTTCCTCAATCAGAGGAAATGAGCTCTGGGAGGAAACGACATCAAATCAGCTGGGGGCTGGTGGTTGAGGGCTCATGCCTGTAATCCTAGTTACACAGGAAGCTGAGATCTGAGGGTCACAGTTCAAAGCCAGCCTGGCAGGAAAGTCTGTGAGACTCTTAACCTCCAATTAACCACCAGAAAAACAAGAGTGGTGCTGTGGCTCAAAGTGGTAGGGTGCTAGCCTTGAGTAAAAGAGCTTAGGGACAGCACCCAGGCCCTGAGTTCAAGCCCCATGACTGCCAAAAAAATAAAAATAAAATCTCTGAAATGCAATGTAGTTTTTGTGGTTGGCATTAACAAGGAGTATCTTATCTATATATTGAGATATCAGGTCTTTCATGGTTAGTACAGTTTTAATTATGTGATATATAATAGTAGGTCCATTGCCATACTTTTTCAAAAGAAAATGGCTGCTGTTTTTAAACTGGGATGTTTGACTGAGTTTATTACTGAAGTACATAAAATTGCCTAAACTTGTAAATACTGCTTATGATTGTTTTCTCTTTCTTTTAAACAGAAATGTACACTTTGCAGTCAGCCTGGTGCTACTATTGGATGTGAAATAAAAGCCTGTGTTAAAACCTACCATTACCACTGTGGAGTACAAGACAAAGCTAAATACATTGAAAATATGTCACGAGGCATTTACAAGTAAGAAAACCCAAGAATTGTCCATTTGGCTGAACATACCAGTAAATAACTTCCCTTAAATATATACCATGACTTTGCTCATTCTCTATTAGGTGGTATATAGTCATGAATACTGAAGGTATTCTCTTTTTAATATTTTTTATTGTGGGCTGAGAAGGTGGCTCAGTGATAGAGCGCTTGCCTTGCATGCATGAGACCCTGGGTTCGATTCCTTAGCACCACATAAGCAGAAAAAGCCGGAAGTGACGCTATGGCTCAAGTGGTAGAGCGCTAGCCTTGAGCTGAAGAGCTGAAGGACAGCACCCAGGCCCAGAGTTCAGGCCGCATGTCTGACCAAAAAAAAAATAATGTTATAAAAGGGATGTATAGAGGGGTTGCAGCAACATAAGTCAGATAAAGAATACATTTCTTTTTGCATGTCAACCCTTCCCTTGTTCTCTCCTAATTTTTCCCTCCCATCTACCCACAAGTTGTATAATTCATTTTCGAAGGTATTCTATAAGGATTTTCTCCTGACTATGTACCTCTGGGTTACCATTCATTCCTCCAACATTACTGCTCACTCTGTGTTAGAATAGTATTTAGTTATAAAGATAGAAGCGAAAAGATTGTCTGCATAGAATGAGAAGAGTTTGGGGTGGAACCCAGTGGTACTGAACTTTCTAAGTACTGTGCTTTTAATGAGCTAGGAGTGTAATGGTTCCATTTCTTTAAGTTCATGAAAATTAATTTGGTAAGAATCCCTGAACTTTTGTTTATTTATTTATCTTTTCTTTCTTTTTGGGCTGGTCCTGGGGCTTGAATTCAGGGCCTGGGCGTTGTCTCAGAGCTCTTTTGCTCAAGGGCAGTGCTGTACTACTTTAGCCACAACTCCACTTCTGGCTCAAATCACAGCCTTCTGAGTAGCTAGGATTATAAACATGAGCCACCAGTGCCCAGCCTGAAACATTTTTTTTGTGACATTAAATAGTTTACATTTGTTTTGATGATTGCACAGTGTTCTATAATACACACACACACACACACACACAGAGTTATATATAGTCATTTTATTGGTTCCTTATTTAGGTTATTTTTACTTTTTAGCTGTTAGAAAACCATGTTTTAGTGGTTATCTCTAAGCAAAAACATTTTTACTAGGATCTATGATGAGTTGGATTAAGTTGAATTGTTGTTTTTACTTTTCGCATTGAAGTGTGTGTGTGTGTGTGTGTGTGTGTGTGTGTGTGCACTGGCACTTGATTGAATTCATGGCCTTATGCTTTGCTTGCTTACAGCCGGCATTCTACCACTTGAGTCATAACCTCAGTCTGGCATTTTGCAGGTTAATTGGAGATAGTCTCATGGACTTTCCTGCCTGGGCCAGCTTTCAACCTCACTTCTCAGCTCTCAGCCTCCTGAATAGCTAGGAGTATAGGTGGGAGGTACTGACACATAGCTGAAATTTGTTTGTTAAATTTGTAATGTGGATTTTGGAATACTGAATTCAAATGAGCATCTATATGCAAGTAGTTTGGGATAGAGCTGAATTAAATGGCGTCCCTATCTCCCCAATGTGGCTTTCATTCCTTAGCACCCCTTTCTGGGTCTTGACTATATATATAATGTAAAAGGCAAGGGTAGCTGGGCCTGGTGCCCAGGAAGTGGAAACAGGAGGATTTTGAGTTTGAATCCTTTTGGGGTTATATAAGAAGGCCCTGTCACCAAAAAAAAAAATAATCAAAGGGCTGGGAATATGGCTTTAGTGGTAGATTGCTTGCCTAGTATGCATGAAGCCCTGGGTTCAATTGCTCAATACTATATACATTGAAAAGGCCAGAAGTGGCATTGTGGCTCAAGTGGTAGAGTACTAGCCTTGAGCAAAAGAAGCTCATGGACAGTGCCCAGGCCCTGAGGTCAAGCCCCAGGACTGGCAAAAAAAAACAAGAGGTGAGGGAAGATATAATGATTTTTATTTATGTTTATTCTGTCTTGTGTATTATATTTTAAATTATTTAATATGAATATTTAAAAAAACAGCCTCCCATCATAAACATGCTCTGTGACAGTGGAGGTATAATTTAACCAGTTGACGGCTATGATTTTGTGCCTAGACTCATGAAAAACTCATAAAGGACTATGGAAAATAATCCACAAATTAATAATAATCCCATAAAAGATGAAAATTTGGCCAATCACCAGTGACTCATACCTGTAATCCTTAGACACTCAGGAAGCTGAGATAGGATGGTGATTTGAATCCAGCCAGCCTCAGCAGAAAAGTCTGTGAGACTCTTATCTCTGGTTAGCCAATAAAAAGCAGGAAGTGGAGCTGTGGCCCAAGTGGTAGAGCATAAAAGCTCTGGGAGTCCAAGTCCCAGGACCCCCACAAAATAAATCTGGAAGTGGAGGTGGGTTCAAGTGATTGAGCCCCATCCCTCAGTGAAAAAGCCAAGTGAAAGCTCAAGGTCTTGAGTTAAAGCCTCAGAACTACACACACACACACACACACAAAACCCCTGAAAAATAAATACAAAAGCTAGCCTGTAGCTTACACCTGTAATCCTAGATACTCAAGAGGCTGAGATCTGAGGATTGCAGTTCAAAGCCAGCCCAGTGAGGTAAGTCTGTGAGACTCTTTTCTCCAATTAACCACTAGAAAACTGGAAGTGGCACTGTGGCTCAAGTGGTAGAGCGCTAGCCTTGAGCTGAAGAGCTGAGAGACAGTGCCCAGGCCCAGAGTTCAAGCCCATGACCTAGAAAATTAATTAATTAATTAATTAACAATTGTTTTTCAGAATCATCACATATAATCCATATTTTCACATTTCCACAATTGTCTTTTTTTGGCAATACTGGGGTTTGAACTCAGGGCTTCACACTTGCTAGATAGGTTATCTATCACTTGAGCCATTGTTTTTGCTTCCATTCGTTTTCTTTTTCTTTTTATTTGGGGGGGTCCCGTCATGGGGCCTGAACTCTGGGCCTGGGCACTGTCCCTCAGCTCTTCAGCTCAAGGCTAACACTCCACCACTTTGAGCCACAGCACCACTTCCGGCTTTTTTTTTTCTTTTTGCTGATGTGGTGCTGAGGAATCGAACCCAGGGCCTCATGCATGCAAGGCAAGCGCTCTACCACTGAGCCACCTTCCTAGTCCCCATTATTTTTCAAATATGGTTTTATTTATGCCTTCACTAGCCTGGACTACAGTCCTTCTATTTACATTTCCTACATAGTTGCAATGATAAGTATGCATTATTGGTTGGGATGGTGCCTCACTAATTTATTGTTTGGGCTGGCCTCAAACTGATAATCCTCTTATCTCTACCTCCCAAGCACCTGGGATTACAGGTATGTACCAGTACACCCAAGTCACAAGTGTCTTTTTAGACTTAATTTGTTCCAATTTGTATATATACAAAGTCCATGCACTGCATTTTTTATTTAATTCTGTTTTAATATGAAGTCATCTCTTCCTCAATCTCACCTTTTCTCTCAATGTGAAGAACCCTGATGAATTGTCCTCTGGAAGTCCCAAACTGTAGATGTGTCTGTTTACTACTTTATGATGGTATTCCACTTGTCTTTACCCTTTCTCCTATACTTTCTATAAATTGATTCAAAGGTTTAGTTTAGATTCACGTTATGTTTTAGGAAATATGCTTCATAGGTAGTATAGGAATCTCATTTGATAATTGGAAAAGAAACAACCAGTCACTGTTGGTTCTCACCTATTATCTTGGCTCCTCGCAGCAGGAAATTCTGTGAGCCTCTAATCTCCCATTAATTACCCAAAACAAACAAGCCAGAAATGGAGCTGTGGCTCAAGTGGTAGAGTGCAAGCCTTGAGCACAAAAGCTCAGGGACAGCACACAGATCTTGAGTTTAAGCCCTAGGAAAACACACACACACACTACACACACACACAACACACACACACACACACACACACACACACACACACACACACGGAAGAGGAGGGGGAGAGGGGGAAGAGGCGGGGGGGGTACTAAAAAGAAAGGAAGTTTTCAGTGGATACCATGTGAAGGCACAAGTCCTCCATAACTCTTTGACAGTTATTGAAAATAGTTTAAGACTGGAAAGAAAACTCATGAGCACAGATAGAAGTCAGTTGTTACTATACTTCACACCACACTTGCTCTTTTAGTTTATTAAAATGTTAGATGTAACTTAGATGATCAGTGACACATATATTCCTATATAATCATTTATCCATTAGTGACCACAAGAGTACACACTAGGAGATTTTTTAAAGCACTTTTCCTGTCATATAGTCTGTAATTGACCTAAAATTGGGCTCAGATCAGCCTGCCTATTGCTGATTATGCAAAATCACATATCATTTTTATTAAAAACTATAATAAAGGGCTGAAGGCATGGCTCAAATGTCATAGAATGTATTTAACAAGTTGAGGCCCTGAGTTCAAAGCAAGTACTCTATAATCCTAGCTATTCAGGACACTGAAATGTACTGACTACCATAACCTTTATGGCTGCATAAAAGTCCCTTCTGTGTGGGCGTGGGTGGCTTATGCTCATAATCCTGGCTACTGAGGAGTCTGAGCTCTGAGGATTATGGTTCCGAGCAAGCCCAGGAAAACAAATCTGGGAATTTCTTATTTCCAGTTAACCAGCAAAAAGCTGCAGTTAGAGGTGTGGCTCAAGTGGTAGAGCACCAACCATGAGTGAAAAAGCCAAATGAGAGCATGAGGCCCTGAGTTCAAGCTCCAGTACTGTACCCCAAACAAATATTAACATAAACCACAAAAAAACCCATGCCACCAAAAAAAAAAACAACTTAGTTTCAAATATACAGAGTATATACTGAAAAGGTGATGGGAACAACATGATGTTGAAGACTCATTCTGGAGATGACTTGTTGGTTTTAAAGGGGGGCACATCTACCATTACAATTGTGAAGTAGGACTGCTAGCAAGCATAGCATCACTGATAGTGGAACAGTGTGAAGTGGCGTGCCTCTTAAAGTATGCAGGATCATCTACAAAGTGTCTGGACTGAACAGCCAAAATTGAAGTTGAAGCTAACCACACCTTTAGGCTTTATTATTCCCAGCTTGTATGAACTATGGGATAGAAGAGACCCAAATGAAGCAGTTCTAGACACATCCACAGGGAGGTGCAGGTGACAAACCAGCTGATCCCATCTCAACCAATCAGGATGCAGATGTTCACATCTGTAATTCTAGCTACTCAGGAGGCTGAGATCTGAAGATTACAGTTCAAAGCTAGCCCAGGCAAGAAAGCCCATGAGACTCAATGTCCAATTAACTACCAAATAGCTGGAAGTGGAGCTGTGATAAGGGGGCTAGCCTTGAGCAAAAAAGCTCAAGGATGGTGCCTATCAACTATGTTTAAGCCCCAGGATCAGCACAACCACACCACACACACACACACACACACACACACGCACACACACACGCACACACACGCACGCACACACACAGCTGAAAGGACCATACTAGTTTAAGAGACAGCCAAATATATAATGTGGGTAATTTTTGTATGCTTTATGGAGATATTCTAGCAAAGGTTAAGGCACTCATGACCAAAAGTAATTTGAAACGTTTGAGGAGAATTGTTTCCTGCAATATGAGCAGAAAGTAGCAATGTACATAGAATATATTTGTTGAAATATAATTGTAAATTTTGTATACAGGATTTCTAGAAATTTATATATTACATCTATATATCTGAAACTTACTGTTTTTTCATTGGCTCAAAATTTGTTTTAAGCCAAGTGCCTGTGGCTTACATTTGTAATCCTCGCTACTCAGGAGGCCGAGAACTGAGAATCGCAGTTCAAAGCCAGCCTGGGCAGAAAAGTCCATGGGACTTGTATCTCTAATTAAACACCAGAAAACCGGAAGTGGCACTGTGGCTTAAAGTGGTAGAGCTCTAGCCTTGAGCAAAAGAGGTCAGGGACAGTGCCCAGGCCCCAAGTTCAAGCCTCATGACTGACAAAAAAATTGCTTTTAATCTCTGGGAAAAATAAGGGATTGCTTTATAACTGTTGCCCTAAATAAACAGGAGGTTTTGTTTCAAATCAACTTCTATTATCTCAATAGTAGTGTATTTTCTTATCTTTTAGATACAAATGGCCCGGTAGTGAATTGGGGGTGTTTTTTTTTTTGTCGGTCGTGGGGCTTGAACTCTGGGCCTGGGCGCTGTCCCTCAGCTCTTCAGCTCAAGGCGAGCGCTCTACTACTTGAGCTACAGCGCCACTTCCGAATTGGGGGTGTTTAAAATTGTGAACGAAAAACTCCTGTTTGACATGGGCACCAAGCTCTTCCACTAATGATTGCATAAATGTATTCTCATCAACAGTGACAAAGGATTTTGAGATTTTTGTCTTTCATCATTGTAGACTATATTGTAAAAATCATAGTGGAAATGATGAGAGAGATGAAGAAGATGAGGAACGAGAGAGTAAAAGCCGGGGAAAAGTAGAAATTGAGCAGCAACAACTAATGCAGCAGCAACTTAATGGAAACTAGGTATGAAAGTTCATTATACCACATCTGTTATCAGGATACAAAACACACTGATAAATACATAGCGAAGTAATGAAATGCAGTACATTTTTTAAAAATCTATTCTGTTTAGCTAAGAGCATGTTACTGGAATGCTGAGGATTGTTTAGACTTGCCTAGTTCTTTGTTGTTTTTTTCTTTCTTTCTTTACTAGCCAATTTTGTAACCATAAAAAAATAAAGCTATCCACTTTATCAGTAAATGTAGTTCTAATGTCAAATCAGTAAGATATTCTCCTCAATAACATTATGTTGATTGTGTTCCCATCAAACATCCTATTTTACATGTTTTTATCATCTTTTAAACAGGTTCATGGGACAGAGTTAGAAAACTGGGAATGAATAAGACATCCATAACTACTATTCTTTTTTTCCACTGTTTTCTAAAATCCAAAAGGGTTTGTAACTTTTTACTGCCCAACTCTTAGATCCTTCATTGAACTGCCTGAAAGCATCTTGTTTGTTCTATATAAGCCTTCACTAGATGGCTGAGTTTGACATGTTGATGTTACGTAGCTGTAGCTTGCAGTTTCTGGGAAGCAGTTGAAAACACTATTAACCCTGTGTAGAGTGTCATCAGTTAAAGCAGACATTGAAATGAACTAAGCTCTATTTCTGGACTGAACGAAGTTCTACTGTTTAGAGTGTTTAAGTTGGTTTAGTGGATTCATGCTCAAGGGAAAACGTAAGCAAATTTTACTTTACAATGCAGCCATGCCACTGGTGGCAACCCATGATTCTTTGTGGAGATTTTTTTTCACACTCCAGTAATGGAGGCTAGAAATGAAGAGAACCTTCTTCTCTCTTGGCTTTGACAGCACATGCTCTCAAGTCACTTCCAAGAAGTGTGCTCCAGCTTTTCTTTGGCTCCTGTTAAAGTTGGGCTCACTGACCACCGTGGATGCAAGCAACTGGTGATTAAAAGCTCTGATGCTCTCCAGTGCTTATGCCAAAATTCTCTTTGACAGTACCACCTCTTCTCTTTCCAACTCACACCAAGAGCTTCTGGCAAAATGATCGAATCCTTTTCCAGGTTCAAAGTAACATTTGGCATACCAACCGCAAACTAAAACCTCTTTGAGATTTAAGGGGTTACCACTTGCTAAGGACTTTTAAAGACCCCACGTCTGAAACGGGTTCCTCCCAAGTGCCCTGTCCGTGGAACACTTCACGTCTTGACCCAGAGTATGTAAGGAGGGCTCGGGGGCTGTAGGAGTGAAAAACAGTCTTGCATAAAACAGGAATTATTTTGAATGTTGTGACCACTATTTTAGAAACTTGATTTCATGTTTTCCATGTTTTTCAGTCATTGCTTTGGTTGTATGTTTTCTAGGCTTCTGGGGCCCCACTCTTCTTCTTAGTGGGGTTTGGTATTTTGTCATTAACTAATGATCAGGATTGTTTATAAAAGCCTAAGAACCCAGCTTTTTTCAAAAGGATTTTGGACACTGGCATTTTTTAGCTAGTGATATTTTCTTCCACTTATCTGCTGAAGCACATTTATATGTTTCTTTATGGAAAAACCAAAAAACGAAAACAAAAACAACTTTATTTGTGGTCTGCCTGATAGTACCATAGCACCTCAAGGCAAAGGGTAGGGATTCTGATTACGGAGTTATTAGTTCACCTACCACAATAGAGCAAATTTGCAAGTAAGAAATAACATATTGAAGTGACTGTACAATGAGCGGACAGAACAGCATTTTTTAAACTGTATACAGGTGGGAAATTACACTGTGCTGAATGAATTTTGTAACTGCTCGTCCCTTAGCATCCAATTTGTCAAGTGTGTGTTCACACATTTACTTCAATCAAGGGACTCAATGCTTGCTCTCTTTTAACTCTTATTGTTATTTTTAGAAGGAAACTAGCTTTAGTAGTGGACTGCTATGTATGTTTCTCCCTTTGCTTTTAAAATGCCACCATTTGTGTGTGATTCATTTTCAAAATTTGTCATGACTTGAAGTACAAGGACAGATCTAAATGTTTGTTTACCAAGCTATGTGACTTTTCCCAAAGGATCTGTACTTTATTTCCTTATAACAGCTTGAAAACTATTATTTTTAAAGATCTTGAAATCACTGTGTCTAGATCATTTTTTACATTGTGTGCCATACAACTTACCCATGGAGAAATAGGTATCCTTCATTTTTAGACAACTACTGTAATGATTTTTTTTAGGAAAAAAAAAGGAAGGTGCCAGGGGTAATTGTGGCCAGTCAATAATTATGTAAAGGACTTCAACTATTGTAGCTGTCAGTTGATGGGTTTGTTGCGTAGTAAGATATAGAACTTGGTATGGGTTTCTTCAGCCCTTTCTCTGCTACTACCAACCAGAATAGCACTTTACCTTTTGGTTGGCTAGATAGGTGGCTGACTACCTGTTTTTTCTCACTGTGGTGTGATAGGCGAAATCCTCCATTCAAAATTGAAATGTAAATTGAAGTCACATGAAGTATCACCTTGGGCTGTAAGCCTCCAATATTTTGATTCTCTACCTATGTTTTCATCACATGCTGAGTAAAAGTGCCTTACAATGTAAAAATTGTACAGTACTTGTGTTCCCAAGTAGCATCATCATCTTCTGGGTAGTAATTACATTGTGGTATTAATATTTAGATAAATGGACCTCAGCAGTGTATTTACTGTACATCTCTTAAGTCCTTAACTGTAGTTTTAATAAGCATGACATTATTTGATAAGTATATGACATTTACATTGTTTTCCAAAAATACTGCCATTACTGTCTTTTATGCATATTTTAGCCTGAAATTTCGAAGTGTCTTTTCTTCTTTATTTCCTTTTCTTTCTTTCTCCCCTTTTTTTGCTTTCACTTTTGTTGTTGTTGTTGTTGTTGTTACGAGTATTAAACAGTGTAACCTTTGCAAGCGTATATTGAAGATGATTCTGGAGCATTTATTGCCTTACCAGAAAATGTTAGTAATAAATGTTCTTTAGAGCAGAAGGATAGACTTAAGTTTCTATACTTTAATAAGAGCTCTTTGTTCCTGGGGGGAAGCGGGAGGGGGGTGAATTTTACTTTCATCTCAATTTATTAAAACCCACAACTTAAATTCTCTTGCAAGGATCAGCAGTTTTAGAAATTTCAAATTGTACTTGCTCAGAGGTACATGCTACTCGAGATATGAACAGAATAACAGTGCTGTAGATCTACTATTGAATCCGAATCTATGTACTTGAACAAATGTGTGAATCTCAAATATCTCAAAGCAAAAGTGAAAGTGTTCTGGCATGTTGTTGCTTTTTTAAAAAGCACTAAGGTTAGACCAAGGTATAGTTTTGTTTGAACAGACATTTAATTGTAAAGATGTGGAATGCGTCATGGGTCAAAAATCAAACATTCCTCTCATGTTATGTATATTTTGTTCCTGTTATATTGGCTTTATTTTCAAATTGTAGTTTGTAGTATTAGTTCCTTTTATTGGTATTCTTGCATATACTATTCATTCAATAAATCAGTTATGAATTTCATATTTGTATGTCTTTTTTGTGTGAAAGCTTATAATGAAGTTTTGACAACCACAACAACATTGTGTTATGTTTAGTCTTGCTGTTTACATCAAGGTAAAATGCCTAAATTGTTTGATAGCTTGTCATTCAACAAATCTGGAGAAAGAGCTGGGGATCTATTTCAGTGGTAGCTGCTGGCCTACCATCACCAAAACAATAACAACAAAATTCACCTATCTCAAAAAACAGTGTGGGAGGGTGAATATGGGACGGGAAAAAACCCTTGGTTTTGAATTTCATTCAAAGTTTCATAATACAAGGTATTTTTATGGGGAGAAGTGACAATCTCTTTTCTTTCCTTTTTTCTTTTTTTGGTCAGTTGTGGGGCTTGAACTCTGGGCCTGGGCTCTGTCCCTGAGCCCTTCAGCTCAAGGCTAGTGCTCTACCATTTGAGCCACAGCGCCACTTCCAATTTTCTGAGTGGTTTATTGGAGATAAGAGTCTCACGGACTTTCCTGCCCCGGCTAGCTTTGAACAACGTTCCTCAGATCACAGCCTCCCGAGTAGGTAGGATTGCATGCGTGAGCCACCGGCACCCGGGGACAGTCTTTTTGAGTACAATAGAATAGGCATTATGGCCTGGGAAAAAGCGAGGAAAGGGGAACATTGTTCAAAAAGAAATGGACTCATTACCTGACTTATGTAATTGGAACCCCTCTATATATCACCTTTATAATAATCATAAAAATAAAATAATTGCTATTATACCATGGTTCAGATTATTAGAATGTGATTTTGAAAATAAATACCCCCAAACTGCTAATACAATTTATCTTATAAAGGATTAGTACCCTTGCCATTTAAGTTTTCTCCCAGTTTATGAACAGCTTCCTGCTGGTACTATGCTCCTATATGAGGTTGCTCATATCTAGGGCAGAAATCGATGTTTTAATTAGTGGAAATCTGCCATTCCACATACAATTCCTAGTCTGCATTCTTACTGCATTCCCCCAAGTATCAGATTCAGATTATTGCTGGGTCATAGAATAGTGTGTTTTACTGCAAATGTATATGTATTTAACATTCACTATTAAGTGTCATTTTTAATTGCTGTAATGGGAAAATACAACGATTGGAAGTTATATGCTTTTCTTTAGCTAATCAAAATTATGGACCACTTATTTATTGGTTCTGACTGCATTTCCTAGCAATTGTTGAGGTCATTACAAAGCCAAAAAATGCAGAATTTCAAAAGAAAATTCTATGGCCAGCAAATGGTCAGTCCATATTTTTACAAGAAAATAATGAAACCACCTATGTTACAGTCCTCAATTGTTGGCAAATATTATATAATCTTGCCTTTGTTTAGATAATAAGGTGGCCAGACATTAAGGATATAAGGCATAATTTTGCATTAATTTTTAATCAGAATGTAAAAAGTATAATGAAGTACCAATTACTGTTAAGGTTACTGACATGTGGTCAGTGTACTGGAGTCAACCAGTCTTGGGTCCCTTTCAAAAGACAGCAGATGGAAGCCAGGTGCTGGTGGCATACACCTATAATCCTAGCTACTCAGAACACTGAGATATGAGGACTTCAGTTCAAACCAGCCCTGGCAGAAAATTCTATGAGACTCTTTTTTTTTTTTTGGGTCGGGTCGCGGGGCCTGAACTCTGGGCCTGGGCACCGTCCGTCAGCTCTTCAGCTCAAGGCTAGCACTCTACCACTTAAGCCACAGCGCCACTTCCGGCTTCTTTTTCTTTTTGCTTATGTGGTGCTGAGGAATCGAACCCAGGGCCTCATGCATGCAAGGCCAGTGCTCTACCACTGAGCCACCTTCCCAGCCCCTCTATGAGACTCTTATCTCCAATTAACTACCAAAAACCCAGAAGAGGAGCAAGGTAGAGCACTTATCTTGAGGGGGGGAAAAAAAAGCTTAGAGACAGTGCCCAGGCCCTGAGTTCAAGCCCGAGGATTGACACAAAAATATACATAACAAAGACAGTAGATTCCCAAACTTCCAAATCATGCATTTGTACCTCTGTGTCTGTGTGTAAATGTGTCTTTTATGATGCTGCTGGGGGAGATAGGAAAACTCAAGGCAGCTAAGTTAAGTAGGTCTACTATGAATAATCAAGAGGCACACATAAAAGCAAATAGTGTTTCAGGAGGTAATTTTTGAAATGAGAAGAAAGACTAGATAGCGAAGTGAGTATCAAGAGTGTTGAGATAGAAATACCTGGAGCTGAAAATACGGATGTTGGATGTACAGCTGTGGGCTTTGAGTTTTTCGGTAAAATGATTTGTACAGAGGGTAAAGTGATTTTAAATATGAGTGAGTTGTACTCATAGTTGGGGAGGTGGAGAGGGAAGGGATGGTAGGGGCTAAAGGAGGAGGTAACAACACTCCATAGGAAAAGTACTCATTACCTTACTCATGTAACTGTAATCCCTCCATACACTATTTTTACAATAAAAAACATTTTAAAAAACGAACGAATTTCTGATAACATGCTACAGTGTGGACGAACCTTGAAAATATTATGCTAAGTAACCAGACACAAGGCCACAAATGATATGTTTCCAATTATATGGAGTTTCCAAGGACACAGCCAGAAAGATGGAAGGCCAATTAGAGGTTGCCAGGGGCTACAGGAATGGGGCAATGAATGACTATGAACAGGTATAGAGGATCTTTGTTTTGGCTGTACTGCTGGGGACTACTATACAGTGTATACCATACTTCTGGCCCTTTTTGCTTTAGATTATTTTCAGATAGGGTCTCAGGTGTGTTTGCCATTGCGAACTTCCTCTCACTCACACAGCTAAGATGACAAGCCTGCCTCACCACACCTAACTTGTTTTATTGACATGAGGTCTTGTTAACTTTTGCCTGGGTTGGCCTCAAACTGCAATCCTCCAGATCTCTGCCCTTCCAGGTATCTGGGATTACAGGTGGTAGCTACTCTGCCTGGCCTACAGTTTTTTCCTGAGAAGGTGCTGAAATGTCAGGAATTAGTGGTTGATGGTTGTGTGACTTTATGAGTAGACCAAGAATTATGAATTATATATGTTCATAGAGTGAAGTTTAGCCTAAATTTTTAAAAATTAATAGTATTCCATGTAGTCACACATATATTCTCATGTTCTAAGTGACCTTGTATCAATTTAACAGTGCATCTATAGGATTAAGTTTGCCTACTTCTCCACCTTTCAAAAGATTGCTTTTTAGTAAAAAGAGGAGGTATGGTGTCTTTATTTGTTTTAATCGGTCCTGGGGCTTGAACTCAGGACCTGGGTGCTATCCCTAAGCTCTTTTGCTCAAGGCTAGTACTCTACTACTTTGAGCGACAGCTCCACTTCCAGTTTTTGAAAATTGGAGATGAGTCTCATAAATTTTCTTGCCCAGGCTGGCTTTGAACTGTGATCCTCAACTCTCAGCCTCCCGAGTAGCTAAGATTACAAGCATGAGCCACCAGCATCCAATTACTTTTTTTGCATGTCAACTACTTGTTTTTGCTTTGCATGAATGAAGTCTAAATCTAGCCAGAAAAATTGACTTGATGTTTTTGGCTCATTGACTAGAAAATGATTTTTTTTTCATTTAACAATTTAAAACAACAGTTGCCTGAACATCTGAAAATAAATTATTGATAAAAATAACACATACCCAATTATGCTGGTCAGTCACTGTGAAAGTTTCTAAACAAACAATAAAATGAATGTAGTCTAGGATGAAATGTGTCACATGAAAAGTGTTTTTCCCCTAATACTCAAAATCACATCTTGCCAATTAGTATTTATAGTACTAGGGCAACTATTTGAAGAAAAGAGTTAAGTCAGATTATAGCATTACAAAACTAAGCTTGTAATGTTTTACCGTAAACCAAGCCTTTGGTCGCAATTCTTTCCACTCATTCTTCCTAGGTTTGCTAAATAACTAAGTTTCTTATGAAAGGGCAACAAAATGGAGTGAATTCGTTAGATAGTGTTTTTCTAACTTGGAACTGCAATGAACAGGACAGCTGCTGTCATTTTCCTCTCTGAGGTTAGCTAGACAATTTAACACAAAGGCTTATTTTCCAACATCCCTGATCCTTAAGCCCAATAGGCTTACATTCTATATTTAGTATTGATTTAGTGTTACCAGGAAGCAATGATTCTTTGGACCCTTGCCTCATGTGTTCCTGATTAGAGAGCAAGCACAAAAGATAAGCAGCTTCAGAAAGTATACAGATCAGAGAGCTGGAATTTTGGCATTATCCTCAAATACAATATCCTTTTTGGACATCTCAGAATTGTTCTTAAGCATTTCAACCTAGCCCATGTGCCCCAATGGCTTTGGGCAGCTTGCCAGCCCGCTTAGGATGCTGGGAGAGTGCATTTATGAAAACATGTTGCTTATGAAGAAGGCTTCAACAGCTGTTCTTTCTCCTTTGAAAGAGACAGGGTAAGAGAGAGAGAGAGGTTTGAGCAGCCTTTTCTGTAGTCTCTGGAATGCGTTAATTACTGGGCTCACTACATTCCCTGAAACGTGGAAAAGCAGCCAACAGTATATGGGCCACTTCCTAGAAAGATCAACACAGTGCTTGAAATGGTCACATCTATTTTTTTTTCCTTCGGAGCCCTTCTGGAAACTCTTAACTTAATTTTTATCGCGTCAAGACCATTCCTCTTTGGACTGTTGTCTGTACCCTTAGCCAAATGGTTTCCTGCTCTATCAGTCAGGCTTTTGTCACTGTAAAACAAAAAGAAGGTACTTAGCTTATAAACTAAGGGAAGCTGGACACTAGTGGCTCACACTTAAAATCCTAGCTACTCAGGTGGCTGAGATCTGAGGATCACAGTTCAAAGCTAACCCAAGCAAGAAAGGCTGTGGTGAGACTCTTCAACTCCAATAAACTACTCAGAAAAGGCTGGAAGTGGTGTTGTGGATCAAGTGATAGAGCGTTAGCCTTGAGCACAAAGAGCATAGGGACAGTGCCCAGGCCCTGAGCTCAAGCCCCATGACTGGGGAG